CATTAATAGCTTTGTTTCTGGAGTTTGGATACAGTCCTTCCTTTTCTATCTTGAACTAACCCATGATTGTGACAGCTTGGAGAAAAGAAATGAAAATCTTCCTCCTGTAGTTTTTGGGAGTTGTTATGCTTCTTTTTCATCTTTGAGAATATGTATCTTCTACATTTTCTCTCAATCCCCCTCCAGTCCCAAATCTTTGCTTGACACTTGACATGTTCTGGAATTTTCAGGGAGAACAGCCTCACTGTGGGTTTCCTGAGAAAAACTTTTCAATGAATGTGGAGAAATTGGCCAGAAAGGTTCATGTTTATTTGTCTTTAATCTATGCATTACTTTTTCTGTTGCCCATATTGCAATTTTTTGTTGGTGAGCACAATTTTGATTTTGGATCCGAAAATGTGCTTAAACTTGTTTATGGCTCAGGGTTATCGAGTTCTTGTAGTTGAGCAGACAGAAACACCAGAGCAGCTGGAGCTGCGACGGAAGGAAAAAGGTTCTAAAGATAAGGTCTGTCTTACTGAGCATAAGAACTGAAAAAATCTGCAATCTTCCCAAGATAATTAAGTATTTTTTTTTTATTTTGCATGGTGCACTACTTAATGACATACCTCTCTCTCAATCTCACCTCTTTCCTAAGGCTATACCAATTGATGATATGTTGATTATCAATTAACCTTTGGTGCATTAGAAGGTTGAGATCAGAAACATTTGTGTTGGGCATATCTTTTAATAGTTTCTATTATTCATTAATCCACCTTTTTCGTCAGGATAATTGTGGATGATGATTCTGACTTCCAGATGTCACAGTGATTCTTGCTGATGAGAATTGATGTTTCACCTATAATCTTAAATCATTCATTGATCCACCATTTTGGAATTAGTGGACCTGTGTCTTTTTTTTTCCCTTACACTAATATTCTTACTTGTGTCTATAGGTTGTGAAGCGTGAAATATGTGCAGTGATCACCAAAGGAACCGTAACAGAGGGCGAGATGCTGTCAGCCAATCCTGAGGCCTCTTTCATAATGGCAGTGGCTGAAAGTCCTTGGCATTCTTCAAACCAAGCATCAAATCTAACATTTGGTGTGTGTGTGGTTGATGTGGCAATCAGCAGGATTATTCTAGGACAGGTGTAGGTCAATAACTCACAGCTTGAAAGCCCCTCAATTTACCCCATGTTTATGTTACTACTAGTGCTCTAAATGTCCATAGATTACTGCTTGGTCCTAACCTATTGATATCATAGTCTAGTTGACCGAATGCACTCCCTTTTTCTTTTTCCAGTTCAGGGACGATCAGGAATGCAGTGCCTTGTGTTGCCTGTTATCTGAGTTAAGGCCAGTAGAAATTATTAAACCTGCCAAAATGCTCGGTTCTGAAACTGAAAAGATAATGCTCAGACATACAAGAAACCCATTGGTCAATGAGTTGATTCCAACCACTGAATTCTGGGATGCAGAGAGAACTGTTCAGGAAGTCAAAACTCTATATAAGCGAGTTGCTGATCAATCACCTACTGAATATTTAAACAGTGCAAATTCACCTACTGCAAAATCTGTCATCGAGGAAGATGAATGTGGCTGCATGCCAGAGCTCTTGTTAGAGTTAGTGCGCAGAGGCAGGGATGGCAGCTTAGCACTTTCTGCCCTTGGAGGCACTCTTTATTATTTAAGACAGGCATTTCTAGATGAAACATTGCTTAGGTTTGCAAAATTTGAGTTGCTCCCTTGCTCTGGTTTCAGTAATGTAGTTCAGAAACCCTACATGGTACTTGATGCTGCTGCCCTGGAAAATCTTGAGATTTTTGAGAACAACAGAAATGGAGATTCCTCAGGGTTAGTTGATCATTTGCTTCTATATTCATAAAAAAGGAAATGCATATACATGCAGAGTTGTTCTGACTCATTATCAAGCAATTTTTTGTTTGTGAAGGACACTATATGCACAATTGAATCACTGTGTGACAGCATTTGGGAAGCGTTTACTGAAGACATGGCTTGCAAGACCTTTATATCATCCAGGATCAATCGAGGAACGACAGGATGCTATAGCTGGTTTACGGGTGAGTTATGTATTCATAATTTGACCTTCAATATTCCTTTATTGGTTCATGTAATCTTTTCAGTGCTGGTTTTCATTTAACATTTTTTTTTGTATTTTTGGTGATGACTTATTCTCCAGCATTGTATTTTTTCTCTCTCATTTCTCAATAATATTTCTGATTTTATAAAAAAATATAATATTTTCAGTGCAATAGTCACATTAAGGATATCGGATAAATATGAGACTTCCAAACCCTTTTCCAAGAAATCTTGTGGTTTGTGGTTGGAGTTTGGGTTTGACAAACTACCTCCCAGTAATTCTCATACCAAATTAGTCTGTGTCTTGAAATTTTCATCTCCCTCAATATTCATATTGCATATGCTGGATAAACTGGGGACTACTACCTGTGGCCACAGAATCAGATCCATGTTGCAGATCTTCAATGAATGAGATCCATGTTGCTTGCTGTAGATAAATGAGGGAAGCTCTGTTTTCATTGCATTTCTTTCTTAATGCATTGCTTGCTTTTAGCAATCACATTTTGTTTCTTACTATGCTAAGTAAATAAGTTGCCTCCAACAAATGTATAATCACTATAGGTTGATCTCCTACAGATGGTATTTCCAGCCCAATCTACATTTGTATATACTTCAATTTGCAGACATTCAAGTTTCTGTCACATCAATTCTTTTTCAGGAGTTCCCTTTAGGTACTTTAGGGTCCTGTACACAAGCTCAAAGTTTTCTGGTTCTGGTTTGGACATGAATTGAGTCAGTATACGAACTGCAAAAGTTATGGACTGCTCCCTGTTAGCCACTTCTTCGGCATTGGCAGATTTAAATTTTATGTGGGGCTCAATTGGAGCTTTAGTGCCTTCACCAAGTAGACCTGTTTCACTGAGTTGATCAAGAATATATTTATGTTGATTAACAAATATAACTTCCTTGGATATAGCAAATTTTGTTCCAAGAGAATATTTCAAAGTAGCCAATAAGAAACAAGCATCTGCAGTTCTACCAATTAATTACAACCAACCTTTCTTATTTTAACCCAATGACTTTATTTTATATAGAATCTAAAAAATCTGTAAATTAATTCCCGTAATCTCTCAACAAATCTAACAACAGATCTGCTGGAAATTAATTTCCCAACTCAACATCGCATAAACTAATTTGGATCCAATATAGAGTTCGAACTTGTGAATGTTGTATGGCCTGTAACTAACTTTCCATCTTGTATGCTGTTGGGTTGGAGGGTGGCCTTGCTTATATAAATTCGGAACTTTTCATGGGTTTAGGCATGAATATCATGTCCTCAATGATGTAAAGCTTCAGCCTGGATGATTTGGAAATCTTGCTGTTCTGCGACATTTATGACTGAGCATACTGTTATATTATTCATGTTTCTAGGGTGAGAATCTGGAATATGTACTTGAGTTCCGAAAAGCACTATCCAGGCTTCCAGACATGGAACGGTTGCTTGTGCGTATCTTTGCTAGCAGGTAAAGCATGGGCCAAACTTAGACATGTATCAATATGAATACAATTCATGATTATGTACGTCAAATTTTCTGGTGTCCATGGAAGATCTAAGATTGGTGTTTGTCATTGAAAACAGTGAAGCAAATGGAAGAAATGCAAATAAAGTTGTTCTATATGAAGATGCAGCCAAAAAACAACTTCAAGAATTTATTTCAGCTCTACGGGGTTGTGAATTGATTGCTCAAGAATGCTCCTCACTTAGTGTTATTTTGGAAAATGTCAAATCTAGACAGCTACATCATTTGTTAACTCCTGGTATTGCTGGCTTTGGTGCTCTTATATCCTTCATAAATATTGTTCAGCATCTTATACTTTAACCATGTGCAGGTGAAGGTCTTCCTGATACCCAGTCAATTCTTAAACAATTCAAAGATGCTTTTGACTGGGCAGAAGCCAATAACTCTGGACGTGTGATACCTCATGAAGGAGTTGACGGGGAGTATGATTTTGCCTGCAAAACAGTTGAGGAGGTCAAATCTACTTTAGCAAAACACCTCAAGGAGCAGAGGAAATTACTTGGAGATACATCAGTGAGAACTTTGTCAAAGCAATTCTTGCTTGTTTGTTTGTTTGTTTGTTTCCAAGTTTTCATTTGGTGAATAATTAATTGGTTCCCATTCTCTGATCAATACAGATTAATTATGTCACTGTTGGGAAAGAAACATATCTGCTAGAAGTACCAGAAAGCCTGCAAGGAAGCGTTCCTCGGGATTATGAGTTGCGTTCATCCAAAAAAGTAATTATTATTTTTTGCTCACTTTTATTTTTGGTTAAACATTGGATCATTAAAATATGAAATATCTATAAAGCACTAGATGTGCGCCATGATCTTTCACTTAAGGCCTCTTTGATATCTTAATTGTGTACTTATAATTACATTTTTAACATTCCTTATTTTCAATCTTGTAATGAGCTGCCATTTCAATTAACAAGTTAAGTCAAAATTCACTTAGAACATGTTGTAAAAAGATCTTTTTTAAGTAGATGGTTGAACAGCCTTTTTCTGCCCCTTTAAGAATTTGACGACGTTAACTTTTTACTTCCGTACATTCCACGAATGCTTTTTTGCTAATTTTGTTTTACTGTTCTATCCCCACTACATAGTTTATATATAATCAAAATTGAAAATTTATTAGATATATGCCTTTCGGCTTTCAATCATTGTACTTATTAAATATTTCAATTGAATTCAGTACTTAATTATTCAGAAATTACCACGGAATTTCTTAGCTTTCAAATTCAGCACTGAATTTAGTCAAGATTATTTTCCTGATGCGTGCAGGGTTTCTTTCGGTACTGGACTCCTACTATCAAGAAGTTACTGAGAGAGCTCTCAGAAGGTGAATCTGAAAAGGAGTCAACTTTAAAGAGCATTTTGCAGAGGCTAATCAGACGTTTCTGTGAGCATCATAATAAGTGGCGACTGCTGGTTTCTGCAACTGCAGGTTAGCCTTGCTTATATTCATGCATTTGAAGTAAGTTTTCTATTTTGTGATTCAGCACCTCTCTTTCAGGTGGCAAAAATAATAACATCACGATGGCTATTTCTACATTTTTCTTTAAGAACATGTGATGAGATTATCATAATATTTATACATTTAAATTTGTCCCAAATTTTGATTTGGTTGTAGAACTTAACTAGTTCACAAGGATGGTGGTGAGAATGGAATACATTTCCAATTAAATTTTTGCAACTGAATTTGCTTATGTTGGTTATGCCATGTTGCAGAGCTGGATGTATTAATCAGTCTGGCAATTGCAAGGGATTTTTATGAAGGACCAACATGCCGCCCAGCTATATTAGGCCAATCATCTTCAAACGCTGTGCCATACTTTTCTGCTAAAATTTTAGGACATCCTGTTCTTAGGAGTGATTCTTTAGGCAAGGGTGCATTTGTCCCCAATGATATGACTATTGGTGGTTCTGGAAATGCCAGTTTCATCCTTCTCACTGGTCCTAATATGGGTGGAAAGTCAACTCTTCTTCGCCAAATTTGCTTGGCTGTAATTCTAGCTCAGGTAAAATTTGTCAAAACCTTGTTTCTTGTTTAAGGAGAAAAAATCAGTTCTGGATCTTTAATATTTTCCCCAGGTTGGAGCAGACGTTCCTGCTGAAAGCCTTGAACTTTCACCTGTGGACCGAATTTTTGTTCGCATGGGTGCCAAAGATCATATTATGGGAGGGCAGAGTACATTCTTAACCGAACTCTCTGAAACTGCTTTAATGCTGGTGAGTGTACATTTGGTTTGGATTGACAGATTAGAAAATGCCATATTATATGACCCTGACCGAGCCGCGTTAAAGATGTTGAGTATAAGAAAAAAGTGAAAAAAGGATGGATCTCACTATAGCATTCTGGCTTTGAGACATCATGTGCCAGAATTACCATAAACGAATCAATTTAAATTTTGTACTTGCATTCTCCAACAAGTTACTCAAATTGAATCAGTATATATGTTTTTTCATGATATCCTTTTCTGTGGGGACTTCTTGTTTCCATCTTCTTTTTGTTAGAGCGCCTATGCTTTAGTTGCCTAAAGCATTTATGGTGTGGAAGAATGGAATTCCGTATTTATTGTTGAATAATGAGGCCCTATATATACATATTCTTGTGTAAGAAAAGAAAACCTACAATTATGTACAGGTAATTTACTAATATACCCTTTATTCTAATTATGCATAATATACACTTTCTAACACTTACCCTCAAACTGGTGAATAAACATTATCCATTCCCTACTTGACAATGATTGTCTGGAACACTGGATTATTTAAACCCTAATCAATACATCTGCAAATTGAAAGTTAGTAAGCATATAAGGTATATATTTCGAGCTACTATTTAGTTTTTCTTTAATAAAATATTTGTCAACTTCAACATGTTTTGTCCTATCGTGTTACACTGCATTATGAGGAATGTTGATTGTTAATTTGTTATCACAGTAGAGTCTCATAGGACCAACCCATTGATCATTAGGTCTCACAGAATCATATCTAGTCATAGTAACTTACATACTTGTTGAGTCATTGTCCGAAATTTTGATTCTACACTATATCTCGTCATTGCGTTCTATTTATTACTTCTTCATGTGACTAAATTTCCTCCAAGATACAATAACCTATAGTGGATCTTCTATCCACTATTGATTCAGTGTATTCATTATGTTTCCATGAGTAATATGTTACTCTTTCTAACCATAATATATTTTTCTAGTGTTCCCTTCAGGTACTTCAGTACTAGTTATGTTGCCTGTAAGTGCACGTCCTTTTAGGATTGTGCATAAACTGGTTTGTCACACTTACTGCATAAGCAATATCTAGTTTTGTGTGCGGTAGATAGATAAATCTTCTAATTAGTCTCTAATACATTTTCTTGTTGATAGCTACATATTCTTCTGCTAGTCCCAGTTTATGATTGGGATCAATTGTTGTGCTAATAGGTTTGCATGCCAGCTTGCATATATTTTTTAGAAGTTTGCTGATGTACTTTTATTGTGAGATGGAAATTTCAGTTTTTGAATAGATCACTTCAATTCCGAAGAAGTATCTTAGACTCATCAGTTCTTTAATTTAAAGTTCCTTGGCCGAGCATTATTTGAGTATTAATCTCTGTTGTTTATCATTGCTTCTTGTAATAATGTCATCGACATGCACAAGCAGCATTGTATCTCCTCTTAAGTCTTAGTATTTGATAAACAAAGTATGATCTTTTTTAATTTATTTATATCCCATGGCCAACATCACCTATGCACACCTTCCAAATTTATGCCCTTGGTGACTGTTTGAACCCATAAAGAGCATCGTTTAATCTGCAAACTTTAGTTACTCTTGCATTTTTTGTGAATTCTGGTCGAATTTCCATATAAATTTCTTCTTGAACGTCCTTGTACGATAATGCATTCTTTACATAAACTGTTGCAGTTTCTAATCAAAATTGGTAGCTAGAGACAATAGAACTCAAACTGTGGTTATTTTGGCAATAGGTGCAAAAGTCTCTTGATAATCTATTTCATATGTTTGGGTATATTTCTTGGCTATCAATCTTGCTTTGTATCTCTCTTGTACCATCAGCTTTGTACTTTATGGTAAACACTAATTTGCATCCCCTAGATCTTTTTTCCTTAGGTAGTTCCACTACCTCCCATAGCTTGTATTTCAATGTTCATAGCATTTTCCTATTTTTGTAAGATGATGTCTTAGATAATATGTTAGAAATAGACTCTATATTTAAACTTACAAAGAACCTCTTATGGCATGATGAACACTCAAATAACATAAAATTTGAGATTAGATAAAATAGGTGTTTAATACATTCTCTGGTTCCTTTTCAAATTGCAATAGTTATAGCCATGTCAAAATGCAAAAGATTATCAGAAGTTACCTCATTTAAAAAATTTGACTCTAATGCTTTCTTCTTGAGTGCACTTGAGAGAATCTTGGGTCATGTATGGTTATTGATGCTGGTTCATTCTCTTGGTTTGAAGTAATGGAGGTGGATAATTTTCTGGGTTGTGAGGTAACTGAGGAGGGTTATTTACTGGTGGTAGAGGTGCCAATGATGTTGAGGGTAATGTAAGGTAACTTTCTGGATTTTAAGGTAACTGAGAGGTCTATTTGCTAGTGTAGAGGTGCTGATGATGTAGATGGTAAGGTCAGGTCAAAAAAGAAAAGGTCTTTATCTTCTGCTACAATCTCCCCATGACGAGTAGATTTGTTAAAGTATGAATCAATCTCAACAAATGTATCAACATTTAGTAGGCGGATGATAACATTTGTAGCCCTTTCGAATTGAGGAATATCCCACAAAAACACACTCGAGGGCTTTTAGGTCGAGTTTCCCTCACTGATGCTGATGTATGTGAATAAAGGCGAAACACCCAAATATTCTAAGCACAAGATGAAAGAATGTATATATATATATATATATATATATAAAATATACTCTTGAGTATAAGAAAAGGAAACATACAATTAATTACATACAAGTATTTTAATAATATACCATTTTCCCTAATTAAACATAATATACACTTTCCAATATATGACATAGATAAATTTTGTTATAAGCATGTTGATGTCAGTGGCTATTTATGATGCTTAATACAGTTGTCAGCAACTCGCAATTCATTGGTTGCACTGGATGAGCTTGGGCGTGGGACAGCAACTTCAGATGGACAAGCCATTGCGTAATTAGCCCTCACTTTTCTAATTGGTTCTTTCCACCTATTCAGCATTTTCTGTGAAATGCTAGTTTGGCGGTTTGTTAGGTTAGTGATTTACATCTCAGTTTCTCAAATTCAATTTGGCAGGGAATCGGTTCTTGAGCATTTTGTTAATAAGGTCCAATGCAGAGGAATGTTTTCAACTCACTATCACCGATTAGCTGTAGACTATGAGGGAGATCCTAAGGTATGTCTCTGTATTGTTGACATAACATTTCATAAACTGAACTTTCTAGATTAATGATTTACATCTCATTGGTGTTATCTAACTCATAAGCATTATTGAAGATTGAAAGTGATGTTGGTAACTTTGTTGTCATGGACCTGATGCCTGGACCTCATAATGAATGTTATACCTTTCTTCTCCTGAAGTATTTAAAGCTTTTCTAACATTTTGGTTGGTTCCCTTTCATATAATACAGGTCTCCCTCTGTCACATGGCATGCCAAGTTGGAAATGGTGTTGGAGGTATTGAAGAAGTCACATTTCTTTACAGGTTGACACCTGGTGCATGCCCCAAAAGTTATGGTGTCAATGTTGCTAGATTAGCTGGTAAGATTATTTGGACTTCTCTGCCTCTCTGTTGTCAAGGTAGAGTTTAATGGTTTATTTTGAAGTTATACGTTGTGACCCATACTTATGAGCATCTTGCTGCAAAATCCATGCTTTCTTCAAATTTGGTATGACTTAGGCATCAAGCTGACAGATTGTATGATGAATACTTCAAGTAGGAAATTACATTTACTTTCGTATGTGCAGATCTGTTCAGAAAATGAAAATTTGCCTCTAATTTATTTTCATAAAGTATGAATTAATGTTTGTAGTGCTGTCGCCTTATCATTAAGCTATGTTCCACTCCTTGTAACAATGTTCAGGTCTTCCTGATTCTGTGCTATTGGCTGCTGCTGCCAAATCTCAAGAATTTGAGGCTGTATATGGTAAATGTAAAAGAAGATCACACAGGAGGGTAGTTTTCATTCAGAAATTAGTCAGTGCCATAGAAAACTGGAAACATCTCAAGCCTTCTGAAGGTCTTGGACTAGGTTCTATGGTTGAACTTCAGTGTAGAGCAAGAATACTTCTCCAGCAAAGCTGATTGAATCCCTCTCAACAGATAATTTGCTGTATGCAGGTATATTTTTAAAACTCATTGTGTACACAAAGGAAGCTTTCTTAGTTATAGTTTTGCCACTGGCATTGCCAATTTTTCCACCTGAGGCATTGCCTTGAATTTTCTAAATTGTCTAAAACCAGAGCGATTTTTTTGCTGCATTTAATTGAGCACATAATGTAAATGATTATTCCAAGTACCTTGGTCCAATCCCTTTAGACCGATTGGATTAGTTTCTTCGACCTGGTCATAGTATGACCAAAATCTCACTCTTTATAAGTTGGACTGAACAACTTATTTCTTGTATGCATGTATAAAAAGTAGTCACAATCATGAGAAAAAGCAGCAGACGTTGTATCTGTCTCAACTGGATAGGAGGTATTATGACCAGGTCAT